GTTCCCTTTCCCAAACTAAAACCCGATCAGATACACAAACACACACATGCACACAACTAAAGACTGAATGTGGGGGCACTTACCAAACAGACATTAAGTTCAGAAAACACAAGAAGAGCTCATATAAAATTCCCCATAACCACAACAGTGGCACCTCGGCTTTGCTTTTCCTACATTACAGTAGAACGTCAGTACCCTCGGTTCAAACATGACATCAGAGCAATATTGGCTACGCTCACACTGCAGGTCTTGTTACCCTGCAGAGATACAATACGTTTGTCTCGTTTTATTCATATAAGACCACCATTCGACACCAACATTAACATGCCCTAAAGTTACCTGCATGTGCAGAAGATGTGGTGTTTACAGAGGTAATTAGGTGTGCTATACACATCATCATGTGTTGTTGTTGTTCAAACTATCTCAATCAATTTAATTGCTATGTCATCAGACAGAGAGCCTGTCTGATCTCTGGCAGCAGCAGAATTCATCATGGCCAGCATTCCTTACGCCACCCTACATCCGGGGAGCAAGCAACACCATGACAATGTTGTTCTTTGGACTGACTAGTTTTACCAACCGTGTTTGCAGTGTTGGTTACGTCCTTTGTTTACATTTGATTTTGCTGCATCCTGCCTCCTCCAGGACAGAATTGGTATGTTTGTTTAATTTTGATGATGTGAAAGTCTGCTGAAATGCAACGTGGCTCTTTAGATCAAGTCTGTAAGAGACAAATCGATTTATCTGGTTACACCTGCAGAGAGAGTGAGAGAGAGTTTAAGGCGCAGACTACGTCAGACAATTTCTCGAGATGTATACTATGACAGCAACTGGTATACTGTAGGTCAAGGAAGTTGTAAGCGGAAGGCCTCCCATACATAACATTTCATTACTATCCCTAATTCTTGTAAAAACATTGACAAGGAAAATGTGGGCATCGCAAACAGTGCCACCAAAGTTAAGCCAACTTCAGCAGCCATTTATTTTAGGCACAAAAATCCTCATGGGGTGTTTAACCTTTGGTTATAATAACCAAATGTGGTTTATTGATGCACTGAGCGCCACCCAGTGTTTTGTGACACTTGATGTATTTTAGGTTGCAGTACAGTAACGGTAACAGCTAGACTATTGTGCGTCTGACCAGTGTGAACAGTCACACCGGTTTGAGCCCTGGGTTGAATTCTTGAGCTCAAGAGAATTTTACAAATAACCATAATAATTTGAAGTTAAACACCTCATTGGCTGAAGCCTAAATCTGCAGAGGAACCCTGTTTTTTATTTGCCATGTATAAAATAATTTCAATGCGTTTAGCGTCTCCTCCTGCAGACTTCAAGATGATAGTCACTGGAGTGTGCAGCTAAGCTAAGCAGAGGGCAACCATCAGAGCTTTAATTGTAGTAGTAGTAAAACTCACTGTAGTCACATCCTGTTCTATACTTCCTCATGTTGTGTCACAAACCTTCCTGTGTAAAGTAAGTCTGTGTCTTAAATTTGCTGTTGGGAATGAGGGAGTGAATATGAGAAACAGAGGGGTGGGGGAGGGAGATAGAGGAAAAAAGACTTTCACTTCATTTGAGGTCGCCACAACAGAGGTCTGTGTGGTGGTCACCCCCAATGACCCTCCTCCCCCTTGGGAGTAAGGGCTGGGGACGAAGGGTTTGAGCCCAGGACCTAATGCTTGGTCTGAACTGCTTTGTCCACCTGACAGAAAGAGAGAACCGTGTAAAAAGTGAAAATAAAAGAGAACAGAAAAAAATCCATTTTGCAGATTTACCTCATCTCTGATTTTTACGACCTATTGATATTCACTGTTGCTGGTGCTGTAATTCACTTACTTCACATGCATACCACCTGGGTACTCAGACCACATCCTGTTCAGTCCCTGGCAGGCTGCTAGATGAGAATTGCCTCCTACATTTTTTTCTGGTTTTAAAACCCTTTAACCTAATCTTTACCTCCTGTTTACTGCATTAAATCCAAAATGTAATAGATCGACATCATTTCCACTGCAGTTTCACTAAGTAATAGCCTCACAGTGATGTTTTACAATATCAAATCGTTTGTATTATGAATTAGACAACATTACAAATTATGTTTTCTTTTTGCATTGACCTTTTGTAAGGTATGTATCACTTTGGCTGTCTCTTTGTGTTTGTTCTTTTTTTTTTTTTTGATCACGGAATCTATCTATTGTGTACTCCCAAACGCAAGATTTTCAACATTTTAACAGCAACATTTAATATCCTATTTATTTAAATAAGCAGGTACAAAGTACAACTTGGAGTCATAATAGAATTAGTG